AAGGCAAGCTTGCAATTTAACAGAATTCTTGAAACGACTCGAAGGTTTGATTAGATTTGATTGAATAAAATTGGGACAATTTTTTTACATTTACATTTAAGTAAGTCAAGATGATTCAGGAAGTTTGCCGTTTCGTCGTAATTGAGTGAACGATTACGGATGAAGGCATGATAAGCATACAGAAAATCAAGCTAAATTATAAAACAATAATAAGCACACACAAACGAGAAAATCCCTCACTGAAATAATAGAAAACAAAACGTTTGTAAGCAAAATGCATGAAATCAACAAGCAAGCACAATATCCAAATATACAAAATATAAACATAACTGAAAATTGCAAAAATACTACCGAAAACTCATGCAATCACAAAATGGCGGCCAACCACGTGCAAAAAAGAAAGCAAAAAATAAGCCTTTGGGCTTCTATATTAAGACACAATAACAGCCGAATATACTAATTCAGAAGTCAAACAAAAAATCAGGTTATATACCAAATTTTCACAGGATATTTCGATGGTTTTCCGAACCACCATCTTCAGCTGCAAACCGCAATGAACAGATAGGAAATAAGATTAGAAGATAAAAAGCCTTACAAGAAAGCAAGTGGCGCCATTGGTGGTGAACCAATAAAACATAATTTCTTTAAAGGCCGAAGGCAAATTTGGATTGGAATTAGATCGTTAACTAGAACAGAAAGATTTTTAGAATGTGAAATGCCTCTGAAAATCAGTTCTCAATGGAAGATGTTTTTTAATAATTTTGGCAGCAGAAAAATTGAAAGTTGTGATTTTCGGACCAACAATGTTGAGGCAACAGAAGACTTCTGTATTTCCTTTTCTCTAACCTATGCCTTATGTTCCTTGACGCGAATTTTTAAGGCTCTCTTAGTTTGGCCAATGTAAATTAAACCACACTGGCAAGGAATCCTGTAAATACCCAGGAATTCATATCCGGAATGGGGTCCTTGAGTATGGAACTCGGAATTTTATTGATGGGAGAATAAACAACCCTAAGTTAAATTTTGCAAAATATGTGCAACTTTATAGCTAATTGATGGAAAGAAGGGAATGACAACAGAATTTGTATAATCTCCTAAAACAAGAGTGTGCCTTTTAGTGTGTTGAGATGAGAATTTTTTAACTGCTTGATTAATAATGTTGGGTGGAAGGCCCCTGTCAATAGCTATTGCTTTTAAATAATTTAGTTCTTCATCAAGGGCTAGTTTGGAGGAGCAAACTTGAAGAGCACGGAAAACATAGGAATAAAATGAAGCTAACTTTTGGTTAGTCATATGGCATCAGGCATATGTTAGAAAAAAGGAAACACAGAAGTCTTCTGTTGCTCAACATTGTTGGTCCGAAAACCACACTTTTAGTTTTTCTGCTGCCAAAATTATTCAAAAAAACATCTTCCATTGGAGAACTGGATTTCTAGAGGCATTTCACATTCATAAAAAAATCTTTCTGTTCTAGTTACAATCCTAATTCCAATCCAAATTTGCCTTCGGCCTTTAAAGAAATTATGTTTTTAGTTCTGGTTTCACCAACAGATGGCGCCACTGCTATTCTTGTCCAGGCTTTCTTATCTTATCTAATCATTATTTCCTATCTGGTTCATTTGCGGTTTTGCAGCTGAAGATGGTGGTTCGGTAAAACCATCGAAACTAGTCCTGTGAAAATTTGGTAAATATAACGCTGATTTTTGTTGTTTGACTTCTGAATTAGTATTCAATAAGACTTCAAATATTTTTATGCTAACAAACAAAACAACTTGAAATAAAAATCAATTTTTTTAAACTTTACCAGTGTCTAAACTTGGCTGAGTTCCAATTATGGTATTCTCCGATTGTTTGCCTAACTTCAACATAAATCAGTAGGCAAAGCACTATGTTGCCAAAGTAGACAATCCAGAATAGTATGAAAATGTATTTACCTGGCAACCCACTTGCTTAGTATGTGCAACACTTGAAAATATGCAAAAAGAATAATTTTTAGAAATGATTCAAAAGAATCCAGAAGTGCTCAAAAGGTCATCGCAATTGTTGGTACCTTTCCGTTTCACTGGCGCAAATCTTACCAAGCAGACTTTATTGGCGACAACATACATATAAAAAATATTAACAAATGTTAGTTGTAAGGAATTTTTATTGTGAAGGCATAAACATTTTAATATCATTTAAAATGTTGTAAAAAGCCAATAAATTTGTAAAAAGACATTAATTTAAGAGAATTTACTATGCTTTCATGGTTCAACATCTTGATTCGGCAGTTTATATCCCGTGACTCCAAGTGATCTAATCTCACGTAAACTACGCTACAAAAATTTAATTCTCTCAGTAATTATCTACATTAATTTCAAGTTAAATCTTAATTTGGAATACAAGTTTAAATGCAAGAATTATTTCGATTCGTACGAATAGCTTTAGTCAGAAATTATATAAAACTGCAGTGCGCTTTAACTTCGCTAGTGCATTCTGATTAGAATTCATGAATTTAACCCTTGATTTTGCTTTTTCTATATTTTCGCCTTCGGGTGAGCGGTGTGATTGCATCCTAATAGACTTAACCCGTACCCTGAATGGCCTTAGGGCATAAAATTGAACTATCTGGTAACAATTTTATGTAATCATATGCCAGATTCAAAGAAACAAGCAATCTGATAAGAAATGGCTGTGACTTGTTTCAAAAATGAGGCATAAAAGGCAAGGTTTTTTAATACATTAAAGTAAAGGTTACCAATGAGGATATTCCGTTTGGCATCAGTTGTACCATTATTGGCGACTTTATTGCTTGCATCGGCAAAACAGAAAAGTACCCAATTATTTTGAGACTATATCACATTCAATTTAATTTTCTTGTATCTTAAAATTTTCACAGTGTCCCTTAAAAGACTGTATACTTTAAAAAAAATATGTGCCCTACCTAAAATTATACAAAAGCAGACACAGTTAGTGTTGAATCTTAAATTCTTTAAATTAAATATTTAAATGTTACTTAGAAAGGTACTGTTTCATTATCGGGACCTGATTAAAAAATGTATCTATGCACATGTATATGTACATATGTGTGTATATATGTGTGTGTATGTACATGTATATGTATATATGCGCATGTATATGTACCAGTGCAGGATTTATGTATAAGCCACACAAGCCACAACTTAGGGCCCGTCAAAACATATAATATCTGGACTTATAAAGGGCCCATATCTCAAATACCTTAGGGGCTTATCAATTCTAAATCCGACCCTGATATGTACATATACACATGCATTTACATGAACACATACATACTTGCATATAGTATACATATATACATACTTACTATAGTATATATATATACATACTTTTTATATACTTGCATATAGTATATATATATACATCCTTTTTTTAATATGGTCCTGATAACACTCCTTCCAGAAAAAAAAAAGTGCTAAATATGCATAAAGCTTGCACAAAGATAATGAAACGATTAAAAATTCAAAGCCACAGGACCCATCAGCAGGCTAGCAATTGCACATTGAATGTTCAAATCAGTAATTAGTAAAGCTTCTCTCCTGGCAGCAATGCAAGGAATACAAAATAAAATCATTTAGAATGAAATACAAATGAAACCTTCAGCTTCTAACAATAAACAAAAAAAAAATAATAATAATAATAATAATAAATAAATAAATAAAAATAAAAAAAAAAGCAATTTTCTTTTCAAACCCATCACAAAATATCTTAAGACTTTCTACATTTACAACAGAAGGTTTAAAAAAAAATTGTAGACAAAGTTAGGCACCTCAGATTAATTATTAATAAAAAGCTCATTTAGATTGAACACCTTAAATTAATAGGATCAAAAGCTTAAAAAACTGCCAGCAATAAATGAAAAATTCAGGGCATCAGTTGGGGCTTTAATCTGTATATTCAGAATGCCTGTTCAACTCTGTTATAGAAAAAATAGTATTATATGGGGCAGAAATATGAGCCCAACATAGGAAAAAATGAAAGGCAACTACATGCAATTCACTACCCATTTCTCCTTCGAATAACAAGATGTTACAGAGCTATATACAAGTCAGCAATCTGTGTACTCAAAAAACTACCACCTTGCACATAATAGCACAGACTGAACATGCAAAAGGAATTATTCCCCCCCCAAAAAAAAAATCATAGAACACACAAAATATGAATTTCCATATAACCCTTATCAAAAACATCCTGCAACAGACACAAAAATTTACTGTACAATCCAAGATTAATAAGAAAACAGAGAACACACAAAATATGAATTCCCATATAACCTTATCAAAAACATCCTGCAACAGACACAAAAATCTACTGTACTACTAAAATGAAGAAGAAAACATAGAACACACAAAATATTGAATTCCCATATAATGATTATCAAAAACATCCAGCAACAGATACAAAAATCTACTGTACAATCCAAGATGCAAAGACCAAAGAATCAAATTACATGTACTCGTATTTATACAGATGGTTCTAAAATGGAAGCAGGTGTACGGATATGCTTATGTTATTCTACAAGTTCCTCAAAATAAAGTAATTCTAAAAGGTTGTTTACAAAATGAAAACAGAATATTTCAAGTTCAACTCGCTGCGATCATGAGGGTACTTATATACTAAACCGGAAATAATTTCTAAAATATTAAAATACACACAAACTGTCAGTTTGCAATATTAGCATTGAAAAATATGTTTAATAACCCATTTTAATTATTTTTAGTGCAACAGGTACTTATAACCAACCACATACCTGTTGCATTTGAAGAACTTTCTCCTTTCTCTGAAGACTTCTCTCTCCATGCTCTTGACGATTGTGGCTGTCAAGACGTGCATAATTTGTTATCTGATCAACACAATTATTGAAATGGAGTGGGCAATCATCAGCAGAACATCCCATTTTTTGGGTAGGTTTAAAATCACAGCAACAATGTACACAATTTTTAGGATGACCTCCTTGATCTAAAACATTCCCATAATTTGCTTGCTTAGCCCGATCTGAGTATGTGACAGAACTGGCATTAGTTTTAAGTACACACATATTAAGAGAACAAGTTCGGCAAGAACCACAAGTTGTTTTTCGCAGCACACTGTCATTCATATAGTGCTGTTTGGAAGCACTGATGCATGTTCCAATTGTACAACATCGAGGCAAGAATTTAGTACCTGTATAGAAAGTACCTAGAGGTGGAAGACCTTTCATGCATTTTCTATAAAGAAAGTCACTTTGTAGTGAATGTTTGTGTCTTGCTACAGGAGTGGATGGCAAACTTGGTGTTGTAACAGGAGCAGTAGGCACAGCACCCCTACCTATGCGGAGGGCTGGATGTCCATTAGCCATTGCAGATGGTCCTGGCTGTGGTTCAAAAGTATATTCAGGCTTTTCATCAGTATCCTGCAACAAGAGAGCACTGCCAGTATCAGTGCTTTCTGCATCTCCAACAAGTGATGACTGTGGTTCAGTCTCCTCTCCATTGCCATTGGTCACAACTTCACTATCAGAACGAGGAACTAATAAGCAATCTTGCAAAGCATTAAAAAGAGCTTCAGCTTGCTTACATTTGAAAGCATAAATACCAGGTCCAGTAGCACATCGTTTGCCACATTCAAAAGAAAAAAGTTCAGTATCAAAACCATAACGTCTTAAACTATGAAGAGGCCAGACTATTGGTGGTTCACCTCTTTGATGTAAAACAAGATCTGTTTCTGTTACTTGCAGGTGGCAAGACTTAATATAATGTCCGTCTTCATCAATATTCCATACCTAAGATTAAAAAAAATATTTAAACATATAAATAAAAAATACTGAAAAATAACTGCTCTAAAATTAACACATGAAAAATTTAGCATCATTAAGTTCAAAAGTTGGAATAAAAAATATTTTTGAAAAATATTATATATGAAAGGTTTTTGGCTTTGATGTTACTGAAATATTTTTAAGTACATTAGGAGAGCATGCCTGAATAATTTACATAATTATTCAGGAATATTATTGTACATAAGAACAATATGCTTCACATTCTGTTTTTCCTTAAAAGTTCATGTAGCTTTTAAAAAGAGCTACATAATTATATAATTAGTAAACACAGTTTTTGTAACTTATTCAACAACAAATTAACATGATCAAATAAAATATGAAATAAAATATTAATTCAATTAAACCTTTTGGAATTTATGCAGAAATATAAATTTAAAGCAAAAAAATTTAATATAAGCAATTACTGAAGGAAAAATTATAAAAGTTAAGAACAAATGAGAAAAAACATCAAAAAATTTTAAATATATCATATTAATTTTACTCAAAAAAAAAGGGGGGAGAAAAACTAAAGCAGTTCTGAATTGCTCTCACAACAGTATTTAAGAAAACGTTTAAAAATCTAAATGTAAACATTGACAACAAGATTTAAACTTGTAACATACTTTTTTTTAAGATCCTTTTAAAACCTAATATTTATCTATAGATGAAAAAAAAAGAAAAACATTGAGACTTTAAAGCTCAAAGCCATAGTCTACTTAAGTTGCACACATATCTGGCCTTTGAATTTTCTTACTTCTAAAATATAAAAATTGCCTAGGCCCAGTTTCCCTTTCTGAATAACTAAGGTATATTGTGACTTACCACATAATAAGCATGCCCAATATGAATATTACATTGACACAAAATAATTACTGCAATTAAACTATATAGGCTTCCAAAACATCTTAATTCTTCATTAGTTGGCAAAAAGCATCATACTGAAAAAAAAGTAAACAAATAAAAATAAAATAAATTAGGTTCACAATTAAGCAACTTACTAATAATGCCAAATAATATAATTATGCAAATAAAAAATTTTGCCAAATTATAATAAAAACAAATTTACAAATAATTTTCTCATTTTTTTATAAGTATCAAAAGTTAAAACTGAAAAATTTCAAGAGGGAAGAAAACCAAAACAAATCTTTAACATCAGTGTGTTAAAAATAAAATACACTCCCTCAAAGAAATTATTTTATGCACCCACTGCAAATATTATTAAAAGTTAAATAATAATATTTGCAATTAAAAATAATGACGTATAAATCAGATGAAAATTGAAAGATATTTATTTAATATTGAGCTTTGATTTTAAGCAAATCCTTATATTTGTTTCCTTTAAGGTTGGTTTAGATACAGTTTCAGAAAGACTGAAACAGGAAGGAAGAGAAACAAACGATAAAGCTATGGATTTTTTTTTTAATTGAAATTAAAACATGAAATGTAATCAGGCTATGTGTGACAAACTAGTTTACTACCAGAGATAAAAATTCACTAAAAGCTTATATCATATTCTCATATTCATAAAATTTAACACATTGAAGCCTTTTCAGCTAATTGATAAGACTGGGTACAACTAAAGATGAAAATTGAAACATTAAAGCTTATTAATTTTAAAACTGTAATCCCATTGTAGAGATATGATCAGAACAATAAACCTTAAAAAGTATTATCTGAGAGAAAATCTCTTGGCAATATTTAAATTCGAGATAGCCGACACATAAAGTTCTGCTCAAGCACAGATAAGCCCTTCTTGTCATAAAAATTCATCCGACTGATAAAAGGTTTACAAATGTTAAAGATTGGTTCATTGATTAATCCATTATAAAATGCATGAGGCTATCTGCTTTAGGAAAAGTGCTTTTATGAAAGATATTCTAAGGGAGCACTTTCAAGTTACACATGGGAAAAATCCATGAACTATATATAATGCAACGAAACCATTCGCTATGAAATGTACCATGACAAGCAGCCAATATTACCCACTTTGCTACTTGTGGACACAAATGTTAACAGAAACTGAAGGAGCCTAGAACTTATTTCATAGTTGCTAAGCAAAATTTTTGGAATCAGGAATATCTTTTGTATAGAAATTGCAAGTTTTACTTTATCATATTGAAATGGCTTAATTATTGATATATATTAAGGTTGAAGAAAAGGGAAATAAAGGGCTGTAAAATGCATTGTTTTTAATAGAATTCAAAACCTGCAATGGAAACATTTTTGAATAATTTTAAGAAAGTCAAACAATTTCAGTATGAAAATTATGCTCAGTTTTATTTCAGTACTGCAATCTACGTACGATTATTAGTGTAAATTAAGAACAGCAATTGATTTTGGGGCATTAATAAATTAATTATGGCAGAAAATTATCTATTATAACAGTGTTGTTTTCAAAGTAAGCATTGTTAATAAAATGTTTTTAAAAGTGGGTCACTCGATTTTGTTCTTTATTTACTGATACAATTAAACTAAGATATATATTATGTTTAGAAAAATTTTACCATGGCTGATATGAAGCAGCTATATTCAATTTTAAAATTTGTCTTGAAAAAAGGAAATGAAATAATTTTTTTCATTTTTAACTGTACACCATATGCTTCACATTAGAAACTACTACACAACAAGCATAAGAAGCTATTAGATATGTATACATAAAAACAAGACCCATAATAACTCAAGGAAGCTTAATCAATTTTATAGAAGTAAACAAAACTTATAATAATTTTACAAATCAAATTCTTTACGAGTTAGAAAAATATGGCCTCGACCTACAAGTTCAAGGTGAGATAATGATGTTAGTATGGCTGTATTATACAAAGATATGCATTACATTTATTTTGCAAAGAAATGAGCAAGCTACATACCATACATTTTTACATATAAGCGTTTTTTCTTCAAAAATTTACCGAAAATGAAAAATTTGTATATAAGCCAAAATGAAAAAAAAAAATCTTGTAACAAATTTTGCAATCTTGTAACAAGGGCAAAAATGTTGCCAAGCAGGTAAAATAAGTGGAATATTTCTCAATCCAATTGCCATACAATAAAATACCAGATATCAATGATGACAGTTTTATTTCTGGTAGCCACATTTGAAGCTAGCATACTTATTGCATTCATTTGTTGTCTGTTGTACCTGAGTTAGTCTTATTTTCTGTCTAAAAGATGAGCATGAAGAGAAATTGGTACTTTTCCTTATATGCCTGCAGTATTTTAAGAGCAAATAATATGTTTTATAATAACACATAATAATTAATGATAATACAATAAGAAAAATAAATTTAATTATAAAAAGGGCAAAAGAAAAGTTGCTCAGATAAATTAGTGTTTACTTCGTGTAGAAACTGTTTGCCTATTGCCTCTATAACAGAATACAAATAATTCCTTTTGCTTCTTTCTCCAAATAAATTCTGAGAGATAGTATACGAGATACTGCCTTGCAATAGCATAAATGAGAATAAATATGACGTGAAATGAGAATAAAAAATGGCTGCCAAAACATAATGAGATAGGACTAGCAGATTTGTACGCAGATAAAGGAAATGTACCAAGAATTTTTACATGGCAAATTTCAAATTACATATGATCACATTTGCTGAAAATTCTAACCATGGCATGGTTGCTCAGCAATTCTCCGTAAATGAAAAATAAATTCGAGAGTGAAGAAAGCCAAGTACAAATTTCATCAATAGATTTTTCATTTTGGTGATGATGCAACAAACCAAAATTATAAACAATATAAAAAATAAAACAACTCATTTTCATAAAACAAATAACTCATTTAAAATAATTTTTTATTAACTTGAAAAATATGAACCAAAGAGGTAAAAATGTATGATATTTTGCAATATATCACTTGTGCCTGGCTAATGGAAAAATATGTACACTTTCTGTGGGATTAGTGGATATGTTAAGCTGACACCTATAATTTCGATTCAGAAAAAGTTCTAAAAATTCTCGGCTTATACAAGGAAATACATGGTATATTGCATTCACTTCATAGTTTAAATTAAGTATGCAAAAATGCCACTCTGCAAATTCATGTTAAGATTTTTTGAAACTGTGCAAAGGATTTGCAAATTATTTTTTTAGCCCAAAGGACCATCAGTGTCGAAACGGCATTTTGCATCTTTTCACTTTCTGCGTTGGTTCACTTTTCAAACTGTTGCCACCAAATATTATTACCATGTATTATATTTAAAGAAACTAAATAATGAAGAATCTGAATGACTGTTTCTCACATAGTGAAAATGTGAATCATGGGAACTCCAACTAATCATGGGAACATGGAAGCTGAGTTTTGATTACTATCTATTTCAAATTTTGTAAAATACCAAATTTTTGATTAACAAAATTCAATGATTTCAAAGTGAGCAATGGCAGCACTGTACATAAAAAAAAAAAAAAAAAAAACATTTGTATCTCCAGTGAGCAAGACTGCGTATCAGAAATTCTAAATGATATGCTGTTTTTAATTTTGCGATATTGCTGTTGAATTGAATTTTATGTGGTTTAAGTGCAAAGAACATATTTAATAAATAAAGGTAACACACAAAATATTAAAGAAATACCCTTTTGGGTGCAATTTTTATTTATTTATTTTATTCTATGCTATTTTGTACATTTAAGAACAGCATTAAAAGGTCATATGGATATGTGATGGGCATCAACAGCAAACGCTGCTAAAGAATCAGATTGAGAGATAACTCATCAGTACATCAGTTATTAAAAGTTATGGCATCAAATAAATAATTACACTGAAGTGAAAATAATAGCATTTTGAAGCAGATCAAGTAAAACATTTTTATGGTTATTTCGTGGGTGTAATTTAATACTGCAATTAATAGAAAAAGTAAATAAAGCATTGTAATCAAAAACTATGGATGCAATATATAAAAATATATGCTTAATAGTGAGATTATATTTTTCTTTACATCAGATGAGAAAAATATTTCTGAAAGTATTCTTGAGAAATGTAAAATTTTAGCCTTAGAGATTATAATTTCAACATAATTTGAACAGAAATAAAAGGTTAATAATTAAAGATTGGTAAATCATATCATCAAGAATCCATTGATACGAACAGTATTTTGCAGAAAACTACGAAACTACTCGTATTATTTCATAGTTGAAATTAAAGACCTGTTACATGTTTTAATCTCACAAGTAAAACACTGTTGCAAAAAATGAAATAGGGGGCTTCTGATTTTCCGTTTCTAAATGGAAAAAATTAGCTATTGAGTTGAGATAATTTAAAGTAGGGTTTCTTAAATTGGGTGTCGTCGGATCCTCAGCAGGGAGTAGCCAAAAATTTTAGCAGTTTTGATATTTCTTATTATAATAATTTTACAATTACCAAATATTTTTACACAGTGTATCTGAAAATAGATAAAGATAAGACAATACAGACAAAGAAAAAAGATGAAAAAGTTTCAACGCATGCTTTTTATAATTTCTTTAATAATTATATTCTTTAATTCTTTCATTTTCCTTGCTTTGCACATGATACTGTCATTTTGTCTGTTACTTCTTTAAAATTTTCTCATTGCTCTATGTCTTAAAATTAGAAATTAAAGTTAATGACCTAAAACTGCAATAGTATATTACAGTACAAGTGAAAAAATTAACAGTTTCACTCACATGTGTGTCGGATTTGCGCAACACTTATGGGGTCCCACAAAATTTTTGCAAATATTATGAGGTCCTGAGGGGTCGCAAAAAATCTCAGTGATAAAAGGGGTTGCGACTGAAAAAAGTTTAAGAAACTCTGATTTAAAGGCAGCAGCTTAACACTTAAATACTCAAGTAATGTAAATGATGCAGAAATTCAGTGAAAATTATTTAATTTTAAAAGCATGCTAATTTCAATAATTCCAGACTCTAAAGTATCTGCAAGTTTAGATTCTTTAAAAATACCAATACAGTTTAGTTCAACTGTATTGGTGCACTGATTAGTCTCCCCTTTATTCGAGGTTCAGACTTGGTGCGTGAAGGTGCAGTTGCCCCTCACTCCCTATTTTTTGACTTCGCTGATTTTCTTTGCGTTTTAATCTATGTGTTAATTGTTTGATCAGATAGGCAGGCTCAGTAAAAGTAGGCGGCCAGTGCAACTCTGATTCAAAATCTGGTTACGACCACGTGCAGTGCTGATAAGGACCATGTGTTTCTGTGTCTCCTTTGCCGATGCTTTATTTTTCTTCTTTTTTCCCTTTCTGGTATTTTTTTCTCTTGATGAGAAGGGACCTTTAGCTGCCCTCGAAATCGATTGTTTTAATATATGTACGCTAAATACAAGGTTGTTATTACGTTTCTCTTCTATTCTATGTTAGTTGAATCATTTCCAAATTTGGAAGCAGCATTAAAAATATATGTAATGTCACTGTTACTAGTAGCAAAAGAAGCTTCAGCAAATTAAAAATAATAAAAAATTATATACGCCACCCGCCGGTTTAATGGTTCGTGACCCTGACTGCCGTAGCAATAGGCCCAGGTTTAAATCCTGGAAAAGGCATGGACATAACTGTCCATCCCTTCATAGCAGGCAACGGTAGTCACCTATTAGGTGCTTCCATAATAAAATGGCCACCACTTCCGGCCCTCGTAGTGGTGCAAGGCTTATGGCTATTAGATACAGCACCTGGCCATTAAAAAAAATTGCTAATCATAGAGGATCTTCATTTGATCAAGAAAAACATTTAAACAGGACCATAGGGTCTGGAGAATATGAATTCGGTGAACTTGCAGCAGAATTTATGCAAAATTTTTTTAATTCGTTGAATTGAATATCCAAATTTAAGGATGGTAATTTTTTTTTTAAATTTAGGCAAGACACTAAGCAGAAGAATTCAGGTGCAATAAAATTTTTTTAATTTAGGAAGGCACTCAGCAGCAGACTTCAGAGTTGCAAAGATTGCACCTGGCAACTTAATTTTTAAAAATAAAGAGATTCAATAGCGAAAACAAACAAATCTTTTGAATGCAATTTAAAGTTTTCATAATTATATACACAAAATTGATTATTTTATAAAATTTTTGACAAATAATAATTAGTAATAAAACATATGCAGCAAAATCAATATACTAACATGGAAAATTGGTCGTGTTGTATCCTCAACAATGATTCTTGATGAAACACATCCCATATTTAGAAACTGCAAAAATAATCAAAATAATAAACATCAACAGAAAATACATTCATGCTAATAAATGTAAATTATATTCTTTTCAAAATAATTTAATAAGACATACAAACTATAAGCATTTTGTAATAATTATTTTTTGTTAGAACAATAAAAATTTGTTATAATTCCAAGATAAAAAAGAATCATTCTGTTAAGATTAAGAAAATCAAGAGCATTTTCATATTATTTTGGTCTATTTTAACAACTTCACATACGTATAATGAAATTCAAACTTTCTTTATTATGTTGAACTGCGGTGCTTAACCACCACGGTGCCTGGGCGCCATAGCCCTACCCCTCATCGAATAACATGATAAAAGTTTCGGATTATGAGAAATATAACTGAATGTGCTAAATAATTAAATGAGCAAGAGTTTAAATTCATAATTGCTAATAGTTAAATACAAATTTTTTTCCTTAAGTACCTAATTACTAATCCATACATAATTAACTATTATTTTAACAACTATTTCACAGAAGAATACATGTACACACAAGAGAAACAAAATAAAGTGCGACGCCTTAGTGCCACTAGTAAAAACAAAAAGCAATCAGGAGGAAAAAAGAACAATATACAATAAAGAATCTGGGTTGATCTTTACATTATGGTAACTTGGCGTTTTTTGGTGAAAATTTGGCGACCAACTCTCCTATAGCAACCCTCTATTTTTTTTTCCCGCCGCCATTTTGTCTTCACGAAGTAAAGACAAGTTTCTTTTCCTTTTATCTACTGAACACTTCTTCCAACAATCTACTAGCCGAATTACACTTATGCTAGAAATTTTATCTAACAAAACTGCTTAATCATGACAAATATTCACTGCAAAATTGGGAAAAAGTGCACAATACCATACTCCTTACGCGTTTTTCAAAATAAACACATACACATAAACCATGTACACGCCGACTTATTTTTACTTAAAAAAACATCCCAGAATTGCCACAAAAATGGCAATGCGCACACTCTTCACTATATCCATGTACACTCCTTTTTTCTCATAAATTAGAAAAATTTCACGAAAATACATGACAATTTTCTCAATCTTTAAACCCGGTAAAAGAACATATATGAAATTACCTGATCGCGAAAAAAGTATTTACCCTTTCCAAATATGAACATTTCCACATATAAAATAAATAAAATATCCAAAAACTTTTACCTCTAAATCATCTATTACATATAAACAGTCATCAACGAATTCTACCGCAAGCATTACAAATACTTAGTATCAAATATTTAAATTATTTCCATGCACGTTTACTTCAACTTAAACGTGTACCAAATTCCTACAAACATAAATTCACAAAATAACTATCATTTAATTAAAATATCACTAAACCATGTACACGTCGACTTATTTTACTTAAAAAAACATCCCAGAATTGCACAAAAATGGCATTGCGCACAACTCTTCACTATATCCATGTACACTGCTTTTTCTCATAAATTAGAAAAATTTGACGAAAATACATGAAATTTTCTCAATCTTTAAACCCGGTAAAAAGAAACATATATGAAATTACCTGATCGCGAAAAAGTATTTACCCTTTCCAAATATGAACATTTCCACATATAAAATAAATAAAATATCCAAAAACTTTTACCTCTATCATCTATTACATTATACACGTCACCAACGAATTCATACCGCAACCATTACAAATACTTATTGTCAGATATTTAAATTATTTCCATGCACGTTTACTTCAATTAAAACGTATACCAAATTCCTACAAACATAAAATTCACAAAATAACTATAATTTAATTAAAATATAATTAAATTCAAAAACACTACTTAAAATATAAATGAGCACATACATTAAATTAATACATACATAAATACCCATTTCGAATTCACTTTAGTTACGGCCATGGGATCCAAAAATTCATGAACACTGTTTCACACAACACAGAATAAAGCCAAATACAAAATTTCCAGATTTTTTCCCGATTTCCCCCCTTTTCCGATTAAAGAACCGTAATTCGTCCATTAATATCACATGACATATCCCATGATCTCTCATTTCCCTCACACAAAATAATGCGTAATCGGAACTGAGTACTGCTCACATTATTACCAAAGTGCCAGGTAGTAACCTTTATCGCCTCCAAAATTTCGCCAAACTACCAGTTACCATATTGTAAAGATCAACCAGAATCTGAGCAACAATTTGCATAACACATATACAAAATTACACATTACTAACATTTAGGATCGCCCTTGGGCGTTTCCTGAAATTGGGGTCCCTAGTATCATAACAATAGTTAACAACCACAGGATTGTCCAGAAGTTTCTGTTTATCATAAAATGCCCTAGATAGGCGGCAATAAAAATCACAAAGATCCTCTATTCTTAACTCTTTACGAATTTGGCTATTCCGAATGTACCAGGGGGCATTACATATCATACGCAATACCCCGTTTTGAAAGCTAAGTTAACCACATATGAATTCTTAAATAAAAAGTTCATCTCTCTACTGTTGATTAAAACTTCTTTCTTGCCTTTGAAATGCAAATGGAAATTCTATTTACAGCTTAATAATAACTCTACACTATGATGTTCCTATGCATCTAAATTTTATAAAATTTACAGGCAATAAACAGGAAATCCCTAAGCAATTTCAAATCAGTCACAATGTATTAAACATATGAACTAATAGATTATCATCATCTACTAATAGATTATCAGTATAGCTTTACAATATAAAATAGCATAATAGTTTCAAGGAGGATAAATTGAATGACTGATAAACTGAATTGATTAAATTTTAATTCTAATTAAATACGAACAAAAAATATATAGATTATTTCTTTTCTATATTAATTTTCTAAAACATTAAAAAACTTAACGTATTTTGAAATAACTGCAGATTTGTATTATTTCAAATGAGAAAAAACAAATAATCATTTTTCTGACAATAAATGAATAAAAAGAAATACTAAGAAATTTGTTCATTAATTAACTGTATCGTTAACATTATTCTTTAATTTAATTATTTCAGTACACATATCCCTCACTTGGTCTCCCACATAGTCTTTAGTCAAAATTCCAAGAATCAGTCTCAACTTTAAAAATAATTCATTCTTTATGGTTGAATTAATATATAACTGATGAATACAAAATAATCAATATTATAAAATATAATTCAATACTTATGAAATGTTTTCTCAACTTTATTACTACTTACAAAAAAATTGGGAAAATTCTTAAGATAGGCATTTCTGTTAGCTTAAGAGGCTTATTAAAATTAAAAAATATAACAATGGAAATATTAAATTTATAATCATTTTACCTGTGGAATTCTTACAATGCCTGAAATAGCAATAACATTACAGGAAAGAAAAGAGCATCATCAAGAAAGCTAATTTCATGCAAATTTCTGAAATGCATTATGTCTGATACACATTTTGAAAAGCATTAATTTCAAAGCAGACATAAGAATTAAATTTCTTATCCAGTTTTTTTTTTTTTTTTTTTTTTTTTTTGTAAATGAGAAACTCAATGACACAGCAATGAAGGCTTACAAAATTATAAAATATTAAAAATTAATTTTTAATTATTAAACTGAAATGCAAAATTTTTTCCTAATCCATGAGCAAATTGCAAAAAACAGGGAAATTGAATGGATTATCTGCTATGAAATATTCCTAAAACAATAAGATATTTTATTGGTATCGATTAATAATAAAAGCCCTATTAAAATTAGATCAAAATGAAATAACGAAAGCATATAAAAGCATATAAAAATCTGCACATAAATTAGGGATTTCTAGAAAATAATACAAAGATTACATCAGGAAATTTTGAACTTGAATGAAAAATAAATACCTTTTTTTTTTTTTTTTTTTTTTTTTTTTACCTAAACCATTTTGCTACCTATTAATCTCTCCGTAACATATTACAGTTACAAATTGACAGCAGACGCATTGATAGACAGCAAGAAAACTTAAATGTAAACATATTAGCTGTGTGTAGGCGTCCGGCACTGAATGACAAGCAAACTTCGACAGCTGCGCAAAAATACTATTTCTAGTATCTGCGCCTTCCGTAGCTGAACAATAAAGATTTTCATTTTGTAGGACAAGTCTCTGAAAGACACTGCTGTCAATATTATATCCAGGTTTTCAATGCATAGATATCACATTTGCAGAAAGGATATAAAATATTTCAGCAAGCTAGGTAAGGTTAAAAAATTGAGGTCATGTTCGGAAAGCAGCCTTCATCGCGCCAGCGGAAGTAAATATCATGAATAGAAGGGGAAAAATTTGTAGGGGAAAAGGTTTAAAGGTATTTTTTTTCTTCCTTATCATGCAACTCGTGTAACTGACCTCGTCTAGCTAAATTAAAAGGCAACTAATGTAACTTTATCATAAAAAAGTAGGGTAATTAATTGAATTTTGAATCTGATTTCATAAATGTATTAATCAATCACATTAATATTTCGCTCAAAAAATTTGTGAATACATTAAAACTTACAGTTACGATTTATACATGTGTTAAACAAGTTACTCTTGAAATTTATTTATAAATGTGTAGCATTTTACAACAGTTTTTACTGTGCAAACGTAAACATGAATCATTTTATGTATATATATGAAAACAATATTTCAGATTAAAATTCTAATGCACTCTAAAATTTCAGATTTGTGTATCTAATTTATCAAAAAATTATCCTGAATTTTGAATATATTATAATGTTCTATATACTTTTTAAATAAAAAATGAAAAGTTTTAAATAAGTTGTTATATCTCAACAAATTAATCAATACGAAGTTTAATGATGTAGAAAATTAATTCTTTGGCTTGTGAAATTAAATGCATTGAGCTATAAATTTTTAATTTATTCTAGAAATTTTACTTAAGATCAAAGAAATTTTGTGATTACTATTTTATACATAATATCCCATTGTATATAATGCATTGTTTCCCCATGATTAATAATCATTCATTACTATTTAAGCTACTTATAAACGTTTATTGAATGTATATTTCTACAACTAGATTTTTTTTTGTATCTGCTAAATGAACTGAATCTTTCAAAAATGACAAGATATTTAGCTTATTCTTAAGAATCCTGATTTTTAAGCGAGCTTTCCTATTAAAAAAAGAAAAGGGTACTCTTCTGTTTTGAGGGCCGTACAAAAATTGCAGCAAAAATGTATGTGCAAAAGTGCCAAATCTAGCAAACGCGCCCATTTAACAGCGCGCCAAATCTAGCATACGCGCTGGTTTCAGATTGCGTAAGTTTATATAGTTCTATATTTCTTAAGATGCCATTGAAATACTAGTTTAATTTTTAAATCCTTTTTTGATATCCTATGGATTTAACAATTTGGGAATTGGCCATGATGAAAAATCGGCAATAGAATTTTGGGTAAAGTGCAGAATTACTCACTACTTGACGCGTTTTTTAAGAATTGCACATACTTGGTATCTATGTGCACATCGACCAATTTTCACTTAAAAAAAAATCCTAGAATTGCACAAAAATGGTACTGTGCCCCCCTTGACTTTATCTATGTACACGTCAACCTATTTTCATTTAAAAAGTAAAATAAAATTGACAAAAATCCAATTGTTTTTACCCTTGTAAAAAGCGGCAAACAAATAAGTGAGCGATTTTGCACTTCTGAATCCCGATTCTAAATATTTTCAAAGAAAAGGCGTCATTCATTATAGAAAATTACGTTTGAACAACCAACGAGATGAAATTATGCTTTAGCGATAAGTCGGTAGCGAAACAGCGATCCGTTCAGTTATGTTTAGCAATTTTTATATAAATTATAATAATGATCTGAAATAGTTATTTACTCTTATTCTTTCATTCAGTCATGTTTAGCCTTTTTCATATAATATATAATAATAAAAATGTATTATATGAAATTAACCTTTCATCTAAATTAAAACATCAATCTTAGATAGTTATTTACTATTATAGTACTTCCTTTCTTGCCGCAATTATTTTTGGCAGCATTGGCATCAACAATAGTTTGGGGATTTTTTATGGCCCTCGAAACCGAATAGTACCAAAAGTTTCCTTTTTGTAAATCATTTTCCAGATAATAAAAAGAAAATTTGCCAGGCAATAAATTTCTGGCAGTTTTTCTGCATATAATATAATCGGTAATCATTGGTAAACTTAGTAGTATCACTTGTATTTATTTATCATTTCTTCTTACCTTCATTTGAATGTTTGAATATGAAGTCCATTAATCTTTTTTATTTTAAAAAAGGTATTGTAATTGAATTATAAAGCTATTGAAATTTTAACTGTCTAAAGTGAAGAATAAGAAGCATACCAAATTTGTCAGTTTCCATGTTAGGTTGATTTTATATTAGTATCATTACGTTTTTATTGCTTCATAAAGATTTTGGTTTTTGTAAGCAGAATTAATGGGACTGTGGTGTATCAGAACAACAGTAACATATAAAATATTTAATGCTTGGAATACCAAGCCTGTGTACTATGCCAAGTTTATGCAATTTTCTGATGTCTTTAGTGGAATAAAAAATTTAATGCATTGTTAAATCTATTTATGGAATCATTTTCATTTATGTATTCATATTTATTTCCATAATTAAAAATAAGGTTTAGTATTGTTATCTATAGAATAACTAATCTAAATAAAGTGGTTGATTGTCTACAATATGAATAACATAATTTTATGTGGCAGTTAAAAAAAAAATAGTTTCATGTAACTGTTAAAAATTAAGTTGAAGATGATCCAGATCAAAATTATAAGTTCAAAAAGCTGTCTGTTCAAATTTAATAATTCACAAACATCAATACACAATACATTTAAATAGGAATATTTCTAGGAAACCTCTTTTTATACAGTCAAGAGTCGTTAATCCGGACTCGTTGGGACTTTGGCGATTCCGGATTATAGATCATCAGTTTAAATCTGGTAAGATGGTATGCAGAAATTATAAAAATAAAAAATATGAAACCGTAATTTATGAAATAAAGAACAATTATTATCTAAAAGGTGTCAAAATTTACAAAAAAAAAAAAAGCTTAATATTTATTTGTTTACTTTCTTCGCTATCGGAAGCGAATTATAATGACGAGGAATTAGATTTAAATCATATCAAAGACAGAGTACATCGAGATGAAATGCTACATTTAGTAAGGAATTATAAGCCAAATAAAATAAAAACATCTGCCCTGAAGATAAGGATAGTGCTGACAGATCAACTTCCAATTTATTGCGCGCCGCGGCATTCCCCCCGCCGAGCAGCGTGAAATTGATAAACAGATTTCGGATTTCCAAACATACTTTCGCTTTAGATCCTTTATATATTTGCAAATATATATCGGAAATTCTATTTGATATAATCGAAAGTTCAAGCTTACTTTTATAAAATTGCTCTAACAGTCTGCAAAAAATAATAAGCTGGATCCAATTCAAAGATTAAGGAACAACGCAATCTGCAACATTAACTGAATTAGATAATTTTAGCTTAGCTTATACCGTCCGTTATACATTAAGCGCGCATGCATAAACGTTTTATGCGCACACGCACATTCACAGCCGTAAAGGTCTTACGCGCGTGCGTCAACACGACACATGTGCAGAAAGTTTGTAGCTTTGAGGTCCGGATTATGGGTGTCCGAATTAACAACTTTTGACTGTATTTAACCTTACTTCAGGGAGATAGTTTTCAGATTCCACCTTGACATCGAATTATAAATTAATAGTAACATAATTTAAAAAAGAAACAAAATAATATTTTTAAGATTTTATGTAAAATTTGAATTTATATTGTTATTTCTTTTTAGTTTTACTAGTATTAAATAATTATGAATCGGTTCTCATTAAATTGGAAAAGAAGTACAGAAGGGAAAATTGCAAAATTAAGCATGAAAAAAAAAATATCTGTTAAATGAATATAGAAAAAAACCTTATTTTATTAAAAATTTTGTCTTTAATGTTGGTTGAACCTGTTTAAATACAAGATATAGTAATTTTCTTCTGTACTTTTGTGCAGAGAAGAGATACACAAAAATAATAAGTAAAATCAACAAAAGGTTGAATCTTATATATGAAAAGATAGTATGCTTATCTTACATGCAATAATCTATTTTTGTTTATTGCCATGTAAACACACTGGTAAGGAAAATTAAATGTATTATTAATCATGATACTTAAAATATCTTATTTACACTAATTTTACTAAAGTGACCCTACTACGTACCATTTTGAATGAGATAATATTGGGTTTTTGACATTTTTCACACAGAGCTTAAATTCCAGTTTTTGCTTAAACCAGAGAGAGAGAGATTTAACCAGAGCTTAAACTTCTTAGTTTTGGGGATAAATTATAATTCTAGGCAGAGCACACCGAAGCCCTAAATAAGAAGTCTTTTATGTTACTGAACAACAATATCTGAAGAAATTTGATCTCGAAAATTTTATTTTTTTGCAATAAAATAAATTATATTTATAGTATATTAAAAATCGCTTATTAAATTTTAGTTTCCCTTTACATTTTATTTAATTACTTTAATTATTTAAATAAATAATTAATTTTATTTAATTAAATAAAATGGATAAATATTATTAATATTGATTAAATAATTCTTAATTAATTTGGTAATAATTATTGAATTTTTAATTATTAATGATTTTAATAACCATTTTCTATATTTACTTACTTTTATTCTTGCTGACGGCCTTCCATAGGGCTCTGGCACTTCAATTTTAGAAAGTAAGCCCTGTTTTCACCATCTCGTCATTTTGATACAAATATCAAATTTTTTCCATTTTTAGTAAAAGTTAAAAATATGCTTGATTATGAGCTATTCATAAATTGTTATTTGTAAGCCATAATCATATTTTAGAAGTTTAAACTTGTTTGAGAAACTTCATTCTTATTGTTTTCCTCAAGAAATATATTATAAAATATGTCGTGAGACATGCTTGAAGACTTCAGTTTATTTTATTTTATTTTTTTTCTTTTTTTAAATTTGCAAGAGATTAAGTATTTATGTTTCCAAACGTACCTTTCCTTAATTGGAAAAGACATCAGCTACAAATATAAATCTTCTAAACAAAATTAAAGTCTAGATAAAAAAGGAAAAAAAAAAAACTGATAAGCTTATTATACTAATGCCAGAAATAATTAAAAGTGTTAAGAAAAATCGAGAGAAATTAGTAAGCCATATTTTTTTAAGGTAGTTAAAAATTTCAATAAGCCTCCTTTAGAATGT